CTTATCTTCTTTCATCCAGTTATACAACTCCGCTATGGTTATTGCAGTAGTTTTAAATTTTACCTAATACACTATGCTATTTTTGCAGCCATGGAATTTGTCTATTGCCTCAAATCCACAAGGTCCTTCGAGTATACCATCTGCACAAATATCTCAAGCTTTTTCAAAACCTGCCCCAGATGTCACTTCACAATCCTCTTCCATGGAAGTTAAACCAAGTAAGAGAACAGAACTTCCAGAGGTGATGATGGAGTTACATATTTGCTTCATCCTCTTACTTTTTGTGTTCCTTTTGGTTTTGTTCATGGTTTTCCACACCTTACAATTTATTATTCTTTTTTGATAAGTATCTTACAATGAATTATATTTTATATGCAGAGTCTATTCGCTGCAACTTATCCATCTTCTGTACCAGTTCCGGGTTGGCAAACTGGTCCACCCCAGGGATATGGATTCAATATGCAATATAACAACACTGCAATGGTATCTAGCACACCCCAACATAATTATGTTGATTACTTGCTGCTGTCTCTTATTTTTAATTATGTCATCAAATTGTAATTATATTATAATCCTAACATTATTTACACCGTGCCTTCAGGTACGGGCATATGCTAGTATTTAAATATTTTAAAAATATTTTAATTTTGTTAAGATTTTAAATATTTAAATATTTAAATATGTTACGATTTTTAAATTTTTTAAAATATTTTAAAATATTTTAATTTTTAAATATTACGATTTAAATTTTTTAGATTTTAAAATATTTTATAAAAATAAATTCAAACTCTATTTTATAAAAATATTTTTAAATATTTTAATTTTTTTGTTATGTATTTGGTTACGATATTTAAAAAATTAAAATAATTTAAAATTTTAAAATTTTAAATTATTTTAATTTTTTAAATATTTAAATTATTTAAATTTTTACGATTTAAAATTTTTGAATATTTATTTTAATTTTTTACTTATTAAATTTTTTAGATTATTTAAATTATTTAAATATTTATGATTTAAATTTTTTGAATATTTATTTTAATTTTTTAGATTATTTAAATTATTTAAATATTTATGATTTAAATTTTTTGAATATTTATTTTGAAAAAAAATTATTTCCTTTGTAGTATTTTCAATTAAAAAATTGATTAATGTTATTTTCTGTTAATAATAAATTTTTTAAATTGAATTTTAAAAAGAGTTTGGTTTTGAGTGTTGATCAAAATTTTCAATAGCGTGAAAGTAGTATGTTTTGTTATGAGTTATAACAATTTGAATTAAGTTTTAAAAACTCTTTCAAAAACTCATAACCAAACAAATTTTCTTATTTTACATGTCAAATCAAACTTTCAAAACTCAATTCAAAACTCAATTCAACACTCAATTCAAAAATCATAACCAAACAAATTTTCTATATTCAAATCATAATTTCAAAATACACAAACTTAAAATACAACTCATATTCTCAAATCATAGTTAGAAAGTTTTACCAAACGGAGCCATATATTTTATTTAGCAGTAGATTGCTGAACATATATTCTTTGTTCGGCAATCTGATTATGAAATATTTTAATTTGTTTGATTTTGACACGTTGAACAAAAGTCGAAGAATTCTCTCAAAAAACGAAACAAAAACCTAAATAACAAATAAAAAAATGAAAAATGAGCGGTAGCTTGAAATTCGAAGCCCGAATTTGGCTCGAAAAAAATTTTTGAATATTTATTTTAATTTTTTACTTATTAATTTTTTTGATTATTTAAATTATTTAAATATTTATGATTTAAATTTTTTGAATATTTATTTTAAAAAAAACTATTTCCTTTGTAGTATTTTCAATTAAAAAATTGATTAATGTTATTTTCTGTTAATAATAAATTATTTAAATTGAATTTTAAAAAGAGTTTGGTTATGAGTGCTGATCAGAATTTTCAATAGCGTGAAAGTAGTGTGTTTTGTTATGAGTTATAACAATCTGAATTAAGTTTTGAAAACTCTTTCCAAAGCTCATAACCAAACAAATTTTCTTACTTTACATGTCAAATCAAACTTTCAAAACTCAATTCAAAACTCAATTCAACACTCTATTCAAAAATCATAACTAAACAAATTTTCTACATTCAAATCATAATTTCAAAACACACAAACTCAAAATACAACTCATATTTTCAAATCATAGTTAGAAAGTTTTACCAAACGGAGCATATATTTTATTTAGCAGTAGATTGTCGAACATATATTCTTTGTTCGGCAATCTGATTATGAAATATTTTAATTTGTTTGATTTTGACACGTTGAACAAAAGTCGAAGAATTCTTTCAAAAAAACGAAACGAAAACCTAAATAACAAATAAAAAAATTTACAATTTCACCTCTTTTTTTATTTTTTTATTTTTTATGGTTCTTCACTACCATTTTTTCATCCATTAATTTATTCTATGATTAAAATACTATAATTCACACTTTTTGAAAAGAGATATGTAGCAGAGAAGAAAAACTGCGAAGAAAAGAAAAATAGTAGGGATTGAAGACCAATGAATGTAAGGAGATAATAAAATATATTTAATTTTAATATTTTGTCCTTAAACAAAAATTAAAAAAGAAAAACATTTCATATAAAGCCTCCGTTTGGGAAGATGGATTTGGGATTTTTTTTTGAGCTAAATAAATCACAAAAAATAAAATAGATTTTTAATTTAATAAGACAAAACATTACATACAACTCATAATCATTACATTATTTCTCTCACAAAAAAATCAAAAACCCTTTATAAACTAGATTTGTTAGTCTCAAATTAAAATAATTAAAAAATTAAAAAGTCAATCCACCCTCCAAACCAATCCATAAGATATAAAGAGATAAACTAGTGTAAAATCAAAAAATTAATTATGACGTTCTCAAAACAACCCTCTCTCAGTAACTGTTCTGTTAACAGTTGGTAGACGTAAGTACGTTACTGCAATTGAAATGCATCACCTCACCATCCATCCTGCAGCGACAGGGACATTTACGTCATTATAACCACAAAGACACTAACGCCTTAACAGCAGAGAAATTAAAGAGTCGTTGTCAGTTGAAATTAGTCCAAATCATAAGGGTATTTTCGGAATTAGATGCATTAACAAAAAATTTTACAAGGAAAATCACTATTGGTCCTATAATTTTAACAAAAATAGTTGGGACCCCGGGATCTCATGAATCCAAAATGATGTGAATTAATTATATATTTTTGTTTTATTTTATTTTGTTTTGTTTTTTCTTTTCTTTACTCGACGAATCAAAGATGAGTGAAGATTGTGAAAGTTGTGTTTTTTTCAAGAGTTCGTAGCATTACAATTTTAAAGGGGTTTTGCTTTGAACTATTGTTCTAAATTTTTGTCAGTTCAAATCTCATTTTTTTAATTTTACACTTTGGTCCTATAATTTTAAAGAGGTTTTACTTTGATCTATTGTTCTAATTTTTTGTCAGTTCAAACCTCATATGTTTAATTTTGTTTCAACATGATCACTTTGTCAACCGTCATTAATAATTTTTTATAGAAAAATAATATATACAAAGAGTTTTACTATAGACCTCTAATAAACTATAAATTAAGGTGATGTTTGATAATTATTTTTTAATAGCTTATTTATTTATTTTAAATCTAAAAAAAAAAGTTTGTTAATTGTTATTTATTTGTTTGTCTTTTATTTTTGATATAAAGAAATTTTTGTAGATTTTTTCAAACTTCTACTTTTTGTAAGAAATTGTTATATCATCATTATAGTGTTTTACAGTCTTTCTTAACATAACCAAATGGATAGATAAAATTTCTAAAAGTATTGAAAGTAAGATTATTTTTACATAAATTTGTAGAGATTTTGAATTTTTTTGGGTACGACTTAATTTTTTTGACTTATTACGAAAAGATGTACAGAAAAATAGAGAAATAATATAACTCAAATAAGATAATAAACTAATAAACTTCTTATTTTTTGTATACCCAAAACAAACCTAGTCAAACCAAACATACACACAAACCTAGTCAAACCAAACATACATTTTACTTCAGTTTATTTAGGTGAAAAGTAATTTATTTGGAATTGTCAAGCATAACTTAAATTTCCAATTGCTCACAAAGAGAGACTAGAAAATTAGTGTGGATTTTATTAGAGATTTCTAACATTTTTATCATATAAAATTAGAAGCAAAATAAAATTAAAAAAGAATAAACTATCAATAAATTTTAATAGTTAGATTAAATTTCCATCAAGTTCTGTTGAAAACAAATCATAGTAAAATCATTGTTAAAAATAATTTTTTTAACAATTTTTTATATATGTCTCTAAAAATTGATAATTATTGACTTTTTTTTTTGTCGCGATTTTGATAAATTGTCGTTAAAACTTATAATCAGTAACTTTTTTGTAATGATTTTTTTTAAACTGTCGCTAAAACTTATAATTAGTGGCATTTTTGTGATAAATTTGTCAAATTGTTGTTAAAAATTAACAATTATGGACGTTTTTTAATAGTATTTGATAAAGAATGTCATTAATTCTTGCATAATCTATTGGACAATAAGGCCTCGTTTGGGAACAGGATAATTTAGTAACTTTTTCGCTATTTGGCTAAAATATGAGTTAAAAAAAACTAGTATGTTTGGGATGACTTTTTGGTTTTTTACGAAAAAATGTGCAAAAAGTAGAGAGAAAAAAGAATCTTTGACTTTTTTGTATAGATTGTTAACTTTTTGGCTAATTTAGTAACTTTTTGACTTTTTAACTAAAAAAGAGAGTTCCCAAACGAGGCCTAAGTCTATCTATTAGGACCTATACATAAATTTTCTTTAAAAAAATTATAGCAACGGACAAAAGGACCAAATTGAAATACAATGGAAAAAATAAAGTTTAAATTAAAGAAATTAAAATTAGGAGGACCAAAACAAAACGTTTTTCAAACCGGAGGACTAACGGCGCAATTTATCCAATATAAGCTTTCGAAACAATTTTGCGGTTTTACGTATATTTCTCTACTCAGCCTCTGCGTGTGTATGCGTTGTTGTTCCCAGAGGAGGTCCGTGTTTGGTTCGAAAAACCTTCTCTTTCCTCCTCTCGGAACTCACTCTCTCTCCTCTTTCTCTCTCTACCATGGCCACCGCCGATGCCTTCTCCGACAAGAACACCGTCTTCAGAAAGCTTAGAGCTAAGTCCGACAACAAGGTATATGGTCATCCAATTTTCTCAAATTTATTCGAAATTTGTGTGATTTTTGGGTCGATTTTGATTGGTGATATGTAGATCTGATTCAGATCTGGAATTTCATAACTAGATCTTGGTTTTGATTTGGTTTTTCGTTTTGATTTGGGGATTTTTTCAGATGTGTTTTGATTGCAATGCAAAGAATCCAACCTGGGCCTCTGTTACGTACGGGATCTTCTTGTGCATCGATTGTTCGGCTGTTCATCGCAGTCTCGGTGTTCACATCAGCTTTGTTAGGTGATTTCGAATTGCAATTTAGGGTTTTCTCGTTAATTTTGCCCTACTTTTGTTTACTTTAATACAAAAATGATTGGAATGTTGCATTTATCTGTTTGGGTTTTGGGTCTAGAGACATGAAAGTTGAAGCTTTCTTGTTGGACTGGGATCACCTATTAGGATAAGAACCATGGATGGAACAGAGGGCTTCGTGATTTATTTTTCAATCTAGATAGAGACAACAAGGTAGGTACAACTAATGGGGACTCTGGACTTGGTGGTCACAAGCATTTGGTGATTCCTTCTTTTGTAAGAGGTTTAGGCTGTTAGCTAGATAATACACGAAAGTGAAAAAAAGAAAGAAAAAAATAATTTTTTATGTGTTTGTTTAGTTAGAGAGTCGTAGAAAGCAGCGGTGAGCATGGTCCGGATTGGTCCGGATTGAGAGAAAACCTGGACCTATCCGTTATCTACGGAAAGATTAAAACGAATCCAATCCGTTTAAATTGTGGAACCAATCCGAACCAATCCGTTGAAACACAGATTGGATCGATTTAGGACCACGGATTTAAATAATTAATACATATATACATAAGTCTATTCATTTATCAATTCAAACAATACCCAAGACTGAAATTCAAACCTGAAATAAGACATATTAACAAAACTAATTAATAAATATATATATATATATATATATTCTGAAATAAGACATATTAACAAAACTAATTAATAAATATATATATTCTGAAATAACACATATAGAGGGGAAAAAATATAAAATGAAAAATAAAAATAAAAAATAAAAGTATACACAGACAGAGAGAGAGAGAAGACGTCGAGAGAGAGGGAGAGAAAGAGAGAGAGAAACATCGACTGACGAACGAACGAAGACCAGAAGAAGAAGGAAGAAGACCGAAGCCGAGGAAGGAAGAAGAAGGTGTACCTTACAAGCGACGAGCGACGGCCGAGGAGCGACGATGAACGACGAGCTACGAGCAGCGACGAGCGATGACGAGCAACGGACGAGCGACCAGGTTCTCTTTCTCCTCTGTTATCTTTGCCTTCTCTCTTTCTCTTTTTGTTCTCTGCTATCTTTGATCGACTTAGGGCTTTGATCGATTTAGGGCAAATATAAGTTATTTTTATTTTTTTACAGATTGACCCCAAAAATATTTTGTAAATTCTGAAATTGACCCTAAAAATGTTTTGTAAATTCTGAAATTGACCCTGTGCGTGTCCCGAAAGTGTCCACAATGTGTCCTAGACGTGTTCGGCTTCAAAAAAAATAAAAAAAAATTTGGACACTCTCTAGTGCGTGTCGGACACGTGTCAACCGCGTGTCCGACGCGTGTCCGTGTCCGACACGTGTCCGACACTGGTACGGAGCCCTCGGAGAGGTGTCCGTGCTTCATAGCCGATGGATGATCTGGGAACAAAGGAACAAAAATAGTGTCACCGAGGGAGAGAGAGAGAGAGAGATATGAGAGATGAGAACACCGAGAGAGAGAGAGAGAGAAAAAGAGAGAGACCTCACCGAGAGAGAGAGACGGGCAGCACATCAATCTGATCTGTGATGGATGAGAGTGTGAGAGAGAACTCAGTCTGAGATGAGAAAGAGAAAAGAGAGAGAGACACCATCGACAGAGAGATAGATGAGATGAGAGTGAGAGACAATGAACTGAATGAGGCGTGAATGAGTGAGGCGTGAATTAGGTTACATTTTAGTTTTTATATGAGACAAGAAATTATATTGTATGGGAAGGTATATAATATAAATATAGATTATTTCTAGATGGTTCAGATCAATTCCAATCCGGAACCGTGGGGTTCAATTCGGAACCGATCCATGGCCTACAGATTTTGAAATTTTCAATCCGGAACCGAACAACGGATTCAAAAAATCAATCCAAACCTATCGGATTGGACTGGACCGGATCGGATTACGGATTTTACGGATTCCTTACTTAGCCCTAGTAGAAAGTAAAGAAAACTAAAATTTCCCGTACAACTCAAATTAGCTTGTTAGTTAGGCTAACAATTTCTTGCAAAATATAGAGGGAAATTTATTTTTTTTTGACAAATCTTGAGACAAAGTTTATTTTGTTTTCATTTTTGCTCAAATTTCTCTCCACAACTCCCTGCACAACAGTGAATATATTTTTTTTTCATCATTTTCTTATAAAATTTTTCATCTATTTAAATGCATGCAAGAAAATAAATTTTCATTTATTTTGCCTTTCTTTCACTTCACTTTCTACTATTTTCATTTTCTATCATCCGTTTCTTTCTAAACAAATAGAGCCTTAGGTTTTACTTGTAGGTTGGCTTCTTAATCTCTATTTGTACCCAATTCTTGAGATCATGAAAACCTGGCCTTGGGCTTGTTAATTTCATGTGCCAGGTACCATAACTAGTTGAGGGATGTTTCTGGAAAATGATTTTTAGTTTTCTTTTGACGTGCGTGACAAGAGAAACTTTAAGATATATTATAAATATAGAACATAAGCAAGAAAGCTGGGGGTGGTCATTGCCAAGGGGGAGATGGATGAGATGAGGTGGAGCCTTTCAAAGATGGGGAAATTTGAGGATCAAAGATGGGTAATTATGCCAAACTTATGGGGCTCAATGTTTTTTTTCTCCAAACCTTAAGGTAGGTTATTGTAAAATTACCCTAGAAATTAATATTGCATGTCATACATTTGTTACAAAATTTTTAGTTATATATATGTTAGCCCCCTAAGGTTAAAATCTTGCATCCATTGCCTAGGAACCCCTTCACTTGGGATCACTCGAGGACTTGTTTTTTGGAGACTAGAACCTATGAAGCATGGACACTCCAAAATCAGTGCCGTGGCAGTGTCCGACACGAGGACATGTCGGGGGACACGTACGGGACACACCAAATGGCATGCCCCTTTAATTTAATGATTTTTTTGTAAGGAACACAGTAGGGACATGGCGTTGACATGTGTGTCCATATGGAGACACGGCATGGAACACGGAAGGGTTTTTTTTTTTTTTTTAATCTTTTGCCTCTCTTATTTAGTGCTTTTGTGAAAAATATTGTTGAATGTTGAATGTTGAATGTTTTCCCCTTCTCGTCTTAGTTCTTGCTATCGTTTATTATGACTTTTTTGTAAATTTTTTTGTGAATGGATGATATATTAATTTGTTTAAATGTAATGGTTATGTTTATTCAATTAATGTTACTATATTAGTGTTTGTTAATTTTAATTTAGGATGAATGTAATATGAATCTATCATATGTAACACAAAAATATATAAAATAAATAAAATAAAATTCGCCGTGTCCCCCGCCGTGTCCCCATTTTTTGGAAATTTCCGTGTCCATGTTCGTATCCGTGTCTGTACTTCATAGACTAGAACTGAGGGATTGTCAAAGTTACATAGCATACCACCCCAAGATGGTTCCACCTTGACCAGTATTAGAGAAAGATACACTTTGACAAAGACATGTGACACACAAAGAACATATCATCCGTAACACTAGAGCCCCCTTCTTGATGTTACTCTTGAGGTGTCATATCTAACTCATCGGTTCCCATGATATAGATCTCAAGATTTGATCATAGGACAAAGAGGTAGTTGAGATACCTCCATCTTGTTGAACTTAGGAGGATGAGCTACTTGTCCAGAGGTGAATTGATTGATCTCCATGGTTTTTGGCCATCATATGTAAGGGACCTCCATTATCAGTTATCCCCAACCATCTCCTTCATCTGCGGCAAACACCAACTCCATTGTTGTTTTCTCTCACTAAGGTGCCTGCTTAAGCTCCCTTCTCTGCCACCTTCGTTGCTCTTCTATCATCTTTAGTGGCTGCCATCTTTTCAAAAGGTCCTACCATGACACCTTACCCCCAACCACCCTTTCCACAACACCTCACCCCAAATGTGGTGGCTTATCTGTAATTCTTATTCTGGACCGCATCAAAAAGCTTGTCCAATTTGAACAATCTTATGTATGATAGCAAACAAGTTCCCTGTATCTACCCTACTTCTATTTGTGCTTTTCATCGGCATTGCTTCAATTCAGCCCCCCTTTGCAAAACCAGTTCTTTGTTAGCAATAATAAATGATTTTACTTTAACTACGTTTCTTTGGCACCATTTGGTGCGTGCTACTTATCATAGCTAAAAGTTGATAATCAGAAATCAAAAGCTAAAAGCATATTTCTCCCAATTTTTTAAATAATAAACTTGTTTCAACTATTTTTGCATCATAAGCTGTATGCAAAAATTGCACCAGACACTTGGGTATTCCCAAAATTTTTTAAAAAAAAAAAAAAAAAGTTGTAAGCAATCCCAATAAGCTGCCCCAAACACCCCTATCTGGTGGACTGATGCATTATTAATTCTCTCCACTTATTTTGTTTTAAAACTTGTATAGTTCCCTACTGTGCCGTAGGATCCATCTCACTGTGGTGCAGGAATGCTGCTATGTGTTATCTGGTCTGAAGGAGTATATAAGGATAAAATGTTTTTGCAAGGTCACCAAATATGAAAGAGAGAGTTACTCTTTTTAAGGAGCATGATTTTGAAGAGGGTTTATTAATTTTTTAGGGAGATGCAAAGAGTCTCTCTCTCTTCCAATGGAAATTTGGTGTTTGTGGACCCTTTGAAACCGCCTCTGGTTATTTCAATTTATGCTTGAGATTTTTTGCAGTTCTAGCTTCTCAAGATGTCTCGAGATAAGTATCATCCCTATTTTCTGCAAGCACAACTGAGTGACCTACCTGACTGTGTCTTTATAATCTTTTGCTTCCTTAATTTTAATTGAATATCTTTTGTATGACTGAGAATCAGAGTTTATGTAATATCTTTCATTCCTGGAATGAGCAAATTAAATTAAATCGAAGTTTAACTAGAATTTTTAGCCCAATTATTTTACCCTTCTCCTTTTGAAGTTTGCTTTGGGGCTTGCATTGTTGTTTTTTTTTCACACCAAGTTACTAAAGTTTTGAACATATTTTCGTCTTTAATTCATTTTACCGGTTTTTATAATCCTCAGCTTGGATGTAATACATGAAAGCAACCCTGCTCCTTTAGATGATGCCAAGAACCCTGTCCCAATTTGTAGATCTCTTATGTTTTCTACAATGGTCCCGTTTGGTAGAGATGTGGGAAAGTAATTATAGCTTATACCTTAGCAGCTTATAGCTTATAGCTGTGAACATAAGCTGATTTTTGACTTATAAATTAAGCTTCTCCTCCCCCACTCAAAGAATAAGTCAATTTTTGATTTACAAAAAACTATAAGTTGTATTGTTAAGCTGAACCAAACATATCAAAATAGCTTAAATTAAGCTAAAAGCTGAAATAAGCTAGAAATAAGCCCTACCAAACAGGGCCAATGTAGTCAATAAATGGATTTTGATCTTACCCATGTAATATAGCTTAGGCCTCGTTTGGGAACAGGCTAATTTAGTAACTTTTTGGCTATTTGGCTAAAAAGGTAGGTAAAAAAATAGCTTAAATTAAGTTAAAAGCTGAAATAAGCTAGAAATAAGCCCTACCAAACAGGGCCAATGTAGTCAATAAATGGATTTTGATCTTACCCATGTAATATAGCTTAATCTATAAGGCAGCCTTCTTATTGTTGAATAATAGATTTCATGTGGATGTTGGTATTGATGCATCTTGCCATATTCATTGTGTTTTTAATTGGTAAAAGTATAAGTTGATTTGTGTCCTTGTGTTTTTGTATGGATGCTGCTGTTTGAAACACCTCTCTTTGTACATTTATCCATTATCAGGGTCTTTTTCTTTTATGAAAGTATTCCTGGTTAATCAAAAGATATGGTTTATTATTGCAGGTCTACTAATTTAGACTCATGGACTCCGGAGCAGTTGAAGATGATGAGCTTTGGGGGAAACAACCGTGCTCAGGTTTTCTTCAAGCAGCACGGATGGACTGATGGAGGCAAGATTGAGGCCAAGTATACCTCAAGAGCTGCTGAACTATATAGACAACTACTTACCAAAGAAGTTGCTAAAAGTTCTGCAGAAGAGGTAGGTTTACCGTCGTCACCAGCTGCTTCTCAGTCTGCACAAGTCTCTAATGGTTTTCCTGACATCAAGATCAGTGAATCTCCAAAAGTAGTTTCCTCTGAAAAGAAAGAATCCTCTGATATCCCAGCTTCACCTAAAGTTTCTCATACAATTGTTACCACTTCTGTTAAGAAGTCTCTTGGTGCAAAGAAAACTGGAAAGACTGGGGGGCTTGGTGCTCGAAAGCTTACTGCTAAGGTGAAGCCTTGCCTTTTCTCTGTAGGCATATTGGTTTAGCAGAAGATATTATATTATGAATTGAGTAGTTTTAAGTCATTGGTTTATTGGTTACTCAGAAAATATTATGTTATAATGAATTGAGGAGTTGTAAGTCATTATTTTGAAATGCTATTTATGAAGTTCAGTGTTTGTTGCTTAATGTTGCATAGTTAGTATTAAGTTCCTTTGTTTAAACCAAACATTTCTATCCAATGCAGGCGAGTGAGAATCTCTATGATCAGAAGCCTGAAGAACCACCTGTGCAAGTTTCCACCTCTACTAATAGCACCCCAACTGCTGGTTCATCTTTAACATCACGTTTTGAGTATGTAGATAATTTCCAATCTGATTCAGTGAGTTCTGGAGGCACACATGTGATTAGCCATGTAGCCCCGCCAAAAGCATCGAGTTTCTTTGCAGATTTTGGAATGGACAGTGGGTTTTCAAAGAAAACTGGCTCCAATTCGTCCAAAGTTCAAGTAAGCCATATAATTTATGACTTTGTTTTTAAGTGACAGAAGACCTAGATTAATGTGATTATTCCAATACACAGAAGCATTAAGGGCCTCTCTATACCAATTTTTGCTGGTTAACCGAGTTGGGTGGGCTCTCTGTGAGGATGGACACTTTGACTTGGTTGAAGTTTCCTTTCCAAGACACTGCAATTTTGGGGCATTAACATGTTATGGGTGACCCCAAGAAGTTCTGGATGATCCTTTTTCTGTCTTGGACTTGGTTGATCCATTTTTCTTTTCATATTATTTTCTTATATTTTTTCCTGTATTTGGAATCTTCATCATAGTTTAAGTAGCAAATCCTAAGGTGATAAGAAACTAATCTTTGTTATAGTTAACAAACTAAGGTTGGCAAAAATCAAATATTGTTACCATTAGCATATTGGAGTAGGTGATAATTTCAAATCTTCCGCATTGTAAACCATCAGTGGGTGTCACCATGGTGTTTTTTTAGTAGGGAATATAGCTAAGGTGAATTATTGTCTTTTGCCTGGTTTATTAGTTTGTTCTTTTGTCACTTTTATTTTTCTCTTCCAACTTATTTGGAGGCCGTAGGGCTTGAAGAAGTATTTCAGTCAATTAATCATTTTCTAGTAAGATTTTACTGGCTTTCTTATTGAGGAATGAAAATCAAGGAGGCAACATGGTTGATGCCTATTCTAGGGATTTCTAGACATATCACTAAAATTTTATTATTTTTATTTTTTTCGGCGAATTTGGATAGAATCTATTGCTTCCTAATTTAATTAATTTTTTCTTTAAAATCTTGTTAGTATGCTTTTACTCTTTCATTGCCTAGCTTTTTCTCTGGTGTCAAAAGTACAATTTGTCGCTCACTCATCATTTACTAAAACTTGACACGAGAATGTAGAAATGCATGTTTTCCCATTCTATTGAGCAAGATTTCATTTTTCACTAGTCACCCTCTCTACAAACTATCTATCTAAATATTTTTTTAAGACACAATTATTTACTTATTATTCACCCTTGATCCTGATTACAAGAAGCTACTTTTTCTGGCACTCAGGTATTTTGAAAGGAGGAAGAAGCTCTAGCTGTTATATCATGCATTTGATGGTGATACATGCATTCCCCTTGTTTCATTTATTAGATTGGGGAGCTTTAATGAATCTTAATATTTTGACGTCTTGGTTGACATCACATGTTTAATTATGTGCTCCTCATGGGGTTTAATTTCATGGAGCTAAAACCTAGCAATCTCTATCTTTTCTCTAATAGTCACATTTTACTTCTGTGCCACATAACTAGTGTGAATGTTGATTTGTGATATCAGTTTCGCTTGAAGGGTAAAGGTTGTATGAAGGGTGTGGCCCAAAGTTGTATTTGTCTAATATTGATGAGACTGTATTGTGTTTTGTGTTCTCCTACAACTTCAGTATTGCTTATGAAATGTCTTTCTGTGTTTCTTTCCAGTCAATTTGGTGAATTTCTTGTCGTAGTGAGTCATAGGAACTATGAAGTTACTAGTCTATGCCTACAAGGCTACAGGCATTTGGTAGCTCATGTTTTAAGATGCTTTCTTCATGGTAATGCATGCCGAGAAATAATGGAACCCACAAGCTAACACCAGCTAAGAGCATTGGCCATAATTCTGATCCTTTATAGTGAATGCAGATAAAGTAGTCCTTTTAGAACCATTCTGAAAATTGATTGATCAGCTTTGAACTTTTCATTCATGAGCTAGAGGGTCCTTGGTATTTAATGCTTTTTGTTTTTTGTCTCGTGATATCCTATTGTCTTCTTTTTTCTTTGTTTCTTCACTCCAAGTTGGAATATGATAAGGACTTGTATTTGTGACACAACTCACTTGTTTTGGTCCAGTTTGGTTTTGGCAGTTGGTTTGCACTTGCAATGTATATGTTTCTATATTTATTGTTTGCATGTTATAATTGTCAGATTGAGGAAACCGATGAAGCGAGGAAGAAGTTCTCTAATGCAAAATCTATTTCGTCAGCCCAATATTTTGGGGATCCAAACAAAGCTACTGATGGTCAAGTGTCCTTGCAGAAGTTCTCTGTATGTGCTCTTACTTACCATTACACTTGGATAAAGCATAAACCATAACCGTTTCCTTGCAGAATTTTATTTTATTTTATTTTACTCCTTGAAGAGCTGCATGCTTCAAAGGTTTACTGTTTGGGTTGCACAAGTGTGCTTACCAATCCTTCAATTTACTTGTCAAATATATATATATATATATGTATCTGCCACATTTTATCTCTAGCTAACTTGAACCAATACTTTTTATGGTTACCCAAATGAAATTTGGTGGACAGGCACATTTTAAATTAGTGAAGGACCACTTCTTTCTTTTTTATTCTCTTTTTAACTTTTGTTTTATTATTTTTTCTGTGAAATGATGATTGTAGCTAATAAGGTAGACATGATCTAGGAACTAACTATTAAATTTTCAATTCAATTACAATGTCTCCCTGACTAGCACTCCGTGAAGTGGATAGATATATAGATTGAATTTGTAACACATCCAACTCATTGGCTGTTATTTCTCTGTTTCTCGGTTTTTTAGGGTTCAACAGCCATCTCTAGTGCCGATCTCTTTGGTGACAATATGGATAATTCTGCACTTGATCTCACTGCAAGCGACCTCCTCAATCGACTATCCTTCCAGGTTTGCCTTACATCTTTTTCATATTCCTTGCTGTGGACCATGTAGATGGAAAAATAGACAGTTATATTGTTATGGGATGTTGCCTTACTGGGGGGTTCTGGCCACAGATGACACCACTTGGACACAACACAGACAAACCTTCATGTTAGACTTTAAAAAAATGCAAGAGCCGATATGCCTGGATCATGTTAAAATTTTTATATTTTAAAAATTTATGTCATGCATATGAATAATTTATTCAAAGATAATGAAAAATACATAACACTAATTACATTAAAAATCTATATAAGTTACAGCTTAAACATCAAGTATCATATAACAACTAAATTCTAAAGAATGCAGAACATTGCATTACATAATGTATTCATCTTATACATTAATGTGTATTAATTGAGCGTTGTTTTTTATTTATTTATTCATCGTATACATGTTTCAAAACATATTCAAAGTGCATAAGTTATGTTTTGAAGAATGCAAAACATTGTTATTATGAAATAGTTCATTACATAGAATATGTTCAGAGGGTTGAAGAAGTGTTTCTAAAGTGTTCGCAAGGTGTCTGATATTATGAATTTTATTTTTTAAATTAAGATACATTGAAGAATTGTATAACAATGACCTCTAGAAGCAACAGTAGGAAGATTGTTAGGATCACCGCAGTGGAGATGCTAAGGGGAGGGGAAGACCTAAGTTGACATAGGATGTAGAAGTGAAAAATTATATGAATTTATTGGATTTAAATAAGCATATAGCACTTGATAGAGTTAAATGGAGAAAAATTATTTATGTAGCTAACCGCACTTGATTGGGACACAATGTTTAGTTTGGTTACACATTGAAGTAGCGTCAAACACAGCTTTTAGGAGCGTCCGAATAATGTCGGTGTCGGACACGGATGTTGGATATGACACGCTTCCTTTATAGAAGTGTCCGTGCTTCTTTGAGGTTCTGGCATGTAGAGTTTGCTCAAGTTAGTATATGTGTTCTTTGCTAATGTGGATATGAATGAAGGGGTTGTCATCGTATGATTTTCTTGTAATATTTTGGTCTTTGGCCCCCATTGTAACCAAAGAAGAAAAAAAATTGAAGACTTCTAAGAAAATTACATTGTCATTTTTAATGTTTATTTTTGTATTATTCTGTTGTTAATATTTTTATATCTTTACTGTATCAATACTATATCTCAATCTGGTTATTAATTGCAGGCGCAACAAGATATCTCCTCTCTTAAAAATATAGCGGGAGAGACTGGGAAGAAACTTAGTTCCCTGGCATCCACTCTAATGACAGATCTTCAGGACAGAATCCTCTGATGAATTGCCGTGCGTTTTGTGGTCAAAATTATCTCTCAAGAGTTTGTTACAATAGCAACCGATACTATATATCTTCTAGTTGATGTAAAAAAGAGCTTATGAAATTCTTTGAAAAGACAAAAATAAGATTTTAAAAATTGAGCCAGCTTATGATAAGCTGGTGTTATTTTTATTTTGTAGCCAGGAATTGTTTTACTACTTGTTTTTTGTATGCTTTTGTTTTTTAATTTAAGGAATGCCAATGTTTGTTGATTCGGCCTTGTGGACCATTTTGTGAGGATGCAGTGAAGATTTGGAAGCATTGGATTGTTTTTTTTTATATCCATTTTTGTGGCGTGACTTTTGTTTTTTGGGTGAGATTTATAGAGGAATTTATGTAGAGAAAAGAAAAAGGGAAAAATGAATGAAATAGTATATGGTTGTTATGGTTACTTGGAGAAGAAAAATGGAAATCTACGAAGTTAAAATTATTTTCTGTAATGATTAAACTGAATTTTTGAACTGTAGTTAACAACCAAACTTAAAATATTTAACATGTTGCTCATGCTCACGTCTTTATTAGTAATTTTTTTGGTCAAGATGTCATTTGATAAAATTTATTTTCAAATTACTAGCAATATTTCCACAATATTCTCTTGTGATGGATTTTTCATCTTGTGTGTTTGGGGCAAAAAGAAATTCATTTCATAAAATTGCGTAATAAAAGATAAATTTGAATTAGTTTGACAAATTTAGTGAGGAGTGGCAAACAAGAAAGTTTAATTTTCTCAATGCAGCAGAGTAAAAATGTTAAATTTTAATAAAATTGTTTCAATGGTGCAACTATTCCGTCTATTTGTTTCAGATAAAGCCCAATAAAATGTCATTTGTGCTGTGTTTGGTTAGGAGATTTGGAGAGGGATTTAGAAAGAGAAAGGGAAAATATGTGTGAAACTAGGTGCAATATAGGTATATTTTATTCACATTTCACCTACCTTTTCCATTTCCCTTACAAATCCCTCTTCAAATCCCTCAACCAAACACAACATTGGAGACTATTATAAAAGAACAGAGAAATTTGGCATTTTGTCACATTGTCAAATTTGACAGAAGAAATTGATAATGCTATATTTTGGCCTCTTTTAATCCACTCTGTGAGCTTGGGTATTGGATGAAAGGGAAAGTCTAATGTACATTTCTTTAAAAAGGGTGTACTATATGTATTTAGGCCTAGTTTAGGAAGACTAAATAAGTGTATTTTTTGACTTTTTATGAAATATGGGTTGGGTTTGGGTTGGGTTTGAAGTGATGTGTTAGAGAGGTGATGTGACTTAAATAAGATGATGTGATTTAAATAGAATAGTAACTTTTTGACTTTTTGTCTTTTTTCAATCATGCCAAACTTAGCCTTATAATTATTATTATTTTTTTTTATAGTTATGATTAATTTTTTTCTTTAGAACTAATGAGTTCTTTAGTTATACCTTATGTTATATTTAGTTATGATATATTTTTTTTGTTATGAGTTAAAAAATTAAAGTTATATAATTTTTTTTTTTAATTATAAGGTGCAGTGTTTCCCTTGATGAAATTGCTATAATTTAGCAATAACGACCCCTATACCAATTCTATTGAAGTTGCTTTAACAAACTTGTGATTGCAACCCTATTTAGGAATAGACTCTTTTAATTGATTAATTGACTTTTTACAAAAGCGTATAAAAAAATAGCAATAGTGATATGATGAGATATTTTGTTTTATTAGTTATTTTAGTCTGAAATGAGCTATTTTAACCCATTCCAAAATACTTAATTGAGTTTAATTATTATCATGAGAAATGTTACAAATCCTGAAATATTAGAGGTTTTTCTCAAACTAAGCCCCTATACTAATTTATTTCTCAAACTAAGCCTACTTTCACAGAATTTTCCAAATTAAGCTGAAGCGTGTTTACAAAACATGCTTTCAGCATTTTTGTGGTCCAGACAGACAAAATAAACAAAATTATAAAAACGTGTTTAAAAAACGCGCTTTTAATTAAGGTTTACAAATCGCGCATTTGGTAATTATCGCGTCAATTAATAAAATGCAATTGAAAAACGTACAACATGAAAACGTGTTTTGAGAACACGCTTTCAATAATAAAAATAATAATAATAATTAACCCACATCACACACACTCACATTCACACTCTTTTTTTTTTTTTCTCTCTCTCTCTCTCTCTCTTTTCGACACACACTTACGCCCACATCACTCACACTCACATTACTCCACTCTCTCTCTCTTACACACATCTACACACACTTATAATAAATAAATAAAAATAAAATAATTAATTTTATTCATTATATTTATTTTAATAAAACATATATAATTTTTAATATATATAAATTTTATTTTATAAATTTGAGACTAATATTAAATATATATAATAATAATTTATAATAACAAATAATAATCAACTATATAATTTTTATAATTTTTGTAAATATAAATCATTTTTATATAATTTTACAAATATTTTTTTACAAATTAAATTAAAACAATCATACATACGTATGTATATAACTTGCCCAAAAATTAAAATGATAATTATTTTTTACTCTTAAATGATAATTATTTCTTATTTCTTATTTCTTAACCAAATTAATTTTTAATTTTAAAAAAAAATTCTAAAAATCAAACCATACATAGCCTAAGAATATTTTGATAAGTCATTTCTTACGTTGGTAACTTATTTAATTATTTGTTAATTTTACGACATTTTTACCATCTGATTGTATTTGGTTGGATGATTTGATGAGAGAAATGAAAATGAGACTTTTCCCAAAGTAAGCCTACCCATTAAGCTTTTTCCCAAACTAAGCTGAAGCGTGTTTACAAAACACGCTTTCAGCATATTTCTGACCCATGCGTAAAAAATGAATAAAATCGTAAAAGTGTGGTTACAAAACACGCTATCTTATTGAAAACTTATTTTACTATTAGCGTTTTTAGGCTTAAATAATAACGCAACGTGAAAACGTGTTTTGAAAATACGTTTTCAATAAAAATTGTTTGACAAAACACACACTCACACTCTTTTCTCTCTCTCTCTCTCTCTCTCTGACACACTTACACCCACATCACTCCACTCTCTCTCTTTCACACACATCCACACACACTTATAATAAATAAATAAAAATAAAAATAATAAATTTTATTGATTATATTTATTTTAATAAAACATATATAATTTTTAATATATATAAATTTTATTTTTATAAAATTAATACCAATAAAAAGATATCAATCATATTTTTAAAATGTGACCAATATTAAATATATATAATAATAAATAATAATTACTCTGTTTGGTTTGGTTATATTTTTTAAATTATTAGTCTCATTTTAAAGATAATCAAACCAAATAGAGTGATTGTTATTTTTTATAGACCAATATCAAATATATGTAACAATAATTTATAATAATACATAATAATCAAATTAAATAGAGTGATTTAATTATTATGGCCCACGCTTTTCACATGAACTAGCCTAGCGAATTTCCATGACTATGCCATTTTCAAAATTTTATTCCCACTCTAGAGTGGCTGTTTATCTTTATTCCCATTCTTGGGTAAAACGGCTTTTCCAGTGCCCTTTTTGTTGAATAAAAAAAGATTAATTTTTTGTGTGCATAAAACCGGCTTTTGAAAAGCCGTTTTGACTTAATTTGTAATTATTTCTCGTTAATTTAAAACGGTTTTGCTAAACCCGTTTTGTGCCAAATATTTTTATTTTTAAATTCTTAATTTTGAAGATAAATATTTATACTGAAAATATATTTCAAACATAAAACGGTTATAAGAAAACCGTTTTACAATACGGCTTTAGCAAAGCCGCTTTTCAAAAAATGTTTGTTTTTTTGGTTTGTCAGTGTTGGTTTTGGTTGAATACAAGTTTTTGCCTTGCTTCCCAGTCCTACACACACAGACGAAGCTGAAGAGAGAGGAAGAGAGACGAAGAGAGTGCACAGCGGAGGAAGGCAATCGCTTTTTTGGTTATTACTGTTGAACAGATGAATGAGTTCAGAGATCTTGTTTGTTGCCTTAAATATTTGTTGCCAAGAAATATTTAAATAAAGTTTCACAAAACATATATAAAGTATCTAATTTGCTAATTACTGCTACGAACAGGGAAACAAAATAAAGGTATGACTATAACACTTATAACACTTCAGAACGACATAACTAGTTCAAACATAAGTATCCTACAAAAATAATTTGTGGAAACATTCAACATAACACAGTATATAAAATAAAGCGACGAGTACATTACTTAACAGTTACATAGACAAATATTAGACAAACTTTTCACAAACTCATTGCCGGAAGAGTTATTTTAACATACACAGTTCATAATTGTGGATAACAACATATAATTTAGTAGACAGATAGACGCCTAATCCTCGCTCAAATCGGCAATCTCAGAGTCCGAACAATCTTAGAGCTCAAGGTCAGAAAGAAGTGCAAGATCCTCCTTGATGGCCTTGATAGCCTCCGCATTTGGTGTTGTTCCTTTCTTCTTGGCATCCGACTTAAGTATAGATAGTTTCATATCGTGGGCTAACCTACGACTCATTTAAGAAATCTCACATCGAAGTCTTTCACATAGTCGATCAACATTATCTGGATCTTCCTTTTGGATCTCAACTGAACGTGCTTTCGGCACCTTTAGTTGATTTTCTCGACATAATCTTTCCATTTGCACTCGCTCTATAAATAGTGCGGGCCACTTCAGAAGTGTAGCGTTTGCTAAACCGTATCCTCTTTGATTATCAGATGGATCCTCCACGAAACCACATGGATCTCGATAGTACTTGGGCATGACAAAATGTTGCTTCCCAAACCTATCATGATAAGCATAAGAGGCATCTAACAAAGCAAATGGTGTTTCATCTTCAGCATCGCCACTTTCCCTTCTCGTTCCTCTTCCTCGGAGTGAACTCTCACCTCTTTCGAAGTTCCTACCCCCTGCGAGTCCCCTTCCCGTTCATCTTCCTCGTCATGAACTCTCACCTCTGCGATTCCTACCCCCTGCCGTGAATCTATACTCCATTTGATTTTTTCATAATAAATGAATGATAGTTTCCTTGGGCAAACTGAGTGGAAAGGTTGTGTATTTACTATCACTCCTTCAGTCCTTTATATAGTTGTTTGTCAACACTACTGCCATGTGGTCGTATTAATGTGACTTAGATGAGTTCTGAAATGTAAGGAAAAACAAAGCATCTAAGTCGTATTGCAC